TGCTAGTAATGTCACACTAGCATTTCATATTGTAATGGAGACACAAACTTGATATTGGTCTGAATGGCCTGAATTCTGTCTCCACTGAGACAGGAAAAGCCCCCTACAAAACCCTTAAATCCCTTGTGCATTTTGCTTGAATGCACCTCATTAATCAAATAATACTATCACTGGCACATTTTCAGCATTATTTATCACTCTACTAATATTTGTGTAAGGCTTTATCAGCATTACATTATATGTATTGCTAGAACATAGATAAAAATGTTGCATAACTCGTGGCATAGAATTGTTTCCTGAAGAAACTCATAAGGAATTCACCATTTCAGTAAAGATTAGTATTAAAAACTTCTCATTTGGCAATAAATGATTTCAGAGATCCCCTCTTAGTATATAAATATTGAACAGAGACATTAATCTTATTATTGCATGGCACTAATGAAAAACAAAATATTCTACCTTTATGTAGTTCCTATAATTAGCAACAAATCCCCCAGGTTTATCCCTTTTCTCCTACTTGTCACAAAACTGTCCTATAATTATATCTATATTTAAGGATTTTGCCTGGAACTAATGTCATGTAAGCTGCTCAAAAGCAGCCCAAAGGGCCATGCTCACTTTCTTTCATCATAGTAGTGCAACAGAAGAGAAATTCCTTCTGTGCTGGCAAGGAGGTATCATACTCTCCACAGCAACAAAACAAACTTATGTTTCTTTATGCACTAAGGAACCCAATGCTATCCAAATTAATTGGACAGCATCTCATCCAAAGAAAAACTCTTCTGATGCCATACCATAAAATTTCCCCCAAAAGAAGACTTCTACAGACAGATTTGAAGTCAATAAAAATAACTTATGAACTATGGGGGTTTTTTTGAGAGTAAAAGTGCCAAGATTCAATACTGCATGGCCCCTCTGATCAAGACTTTATGTATCCTTGTTCCTCCCTATCTGAAGCAACATGAATTTGATAACGGCTGGATATTTTTCATACTATCGTGCTGACAATTTCATACTTTCAGAAGCAGGTCTGAGCAGCCCTAAAAATGCTAGTTGTGAGAATGAAGCCATGAGGATGTGGATGGGACGCAAGATTTTGTCCAATCTGATTATCTTTTCTATTTTGATGGTGATAAAACCCAACGACTACTACTGTACTAAAAAACCGACTGCTCAGTGAAACTTTCAGCCTTATTCCAAGTTTGGATCCAGGCCCAACAGCAGCATAGGCCCAAGCACTAACACTTTCCAGAGCGTGCAAGTATTAGTGATAAAAGAATGATAAGGAGTAAAACTTTGGGATTTTGACCCAGTTTTTGTTTCCACATCTTTTGAACTGGGACGAAGGCTTTTCATCCAGCGTGGCCATATGCACATCGTGCCACTGGACACAAACTTCCCAAGTCTCCACTGGATGCAGGGAGGCGCTCCCAGTTTTAGCAGTGCCTGTGCTGGCACATGCCAGCCAGCCTCACCCACACCCTTGTTCTTTGTTTCCCTTCGGCCTCCAACTGGCATGGCTGGACTAGTATCTCTGCATTCAGGCTTTCTGGCTTGAAAATCTTTATTTTTTGTATTTATTTTTTCCAATCTAGGTGCTGCTCCTGGTTTCCGGAGTGCCCTTGCCAGGCCCCGGCGGCCCCTCCT